GACTAATTTATTTTTTCTAACAAAAAAAATTCCATTGCACTACAWTAAATAATTATTAAATATTTTCTCTTCAGCTTTGTTGATGCAAAGCAGTGATATATATAAATATATGTAAAGAAAACCACTTATTTTGAATTGTGTATAATGCCAAAAACATAATTTAGGTTATTTACCAAAATAAAACTTCTTTAGATAGCTGAGATAGAGTACAAACACTAAAACTGTGCAACATAAATACCACTAAATACTGCTAAATTATGCTAATTCTATTGTTTTCTATTGTTTAATTAACATTATTTTGTACTTAATAGTGGAAAGTATTGCACACATTTAATGTTTGTACTCTAATATTACAGAAATTATAAATTAATATAAATTATTAATATATTTTGAAACTTTGACTTTTCAATCATACAGGATTTATATATATTATTAAATGCATTTYGACAGTTGAAATCATGCAGAAATACGGTAATAAAAATAATAACAAATGCATCTTTATATGTCAATAGATTGAAATTGTTTGCAATTTTTTGTTGTAAATTCTTAATAGTTGGTATTTTTCAATCTTTACAGGAATCATAAAATAATATAAATGCATTTTGACAGTTTTGGTATTATTCAATCAAGCATAAATCATAAATTAATAATTAATATGTTCTTGAAATGTTCAAAATTTTTGATCTTGTAATGAAAATGTTACACACTTTTGCTTACACCAATGTCATTTAATAAACAGAACATTACAGCTGTCGCTTGAAGATATGAATTTTATCTTCAAGTTTTGAATTTATTTATCCCATGAGTTAGCACAATATTTCCATGCACCCATGTAATATCCTTTATTTAATCACACAGGAATGATAAATAATAATAAATACATTTTGGCAGTTGATATTTGTCAATCATACAGTGATCCAAAAAAATGATTTATGGGTCATTTGAATTTGACAGTTTTGGTGGTTTTTCAATCATACAGGAAACATACCTTATAATAATTTAATCACACAGGAATGACACTAATTACCTCAATACATTTTTGACATACAGTGATCATAAATGATAATACATTTTGGCAGTTTTGTAAACAATTAAAGGAATCATAAGCTTAATGTTCATAATGATTATCCATTTTTCAACTTCTCAAATTCTTTGCTTATCTTTGCTCTCTGTATTTGTTGACAGTTTGTATTAAAGAGTTTATTGAAGAATAAAGATTAAAAATCTGAACATTCAAATAATATCAAGGNTTTATTTTTGTGCACTCCAGGAAGAACTGACTTTGATGTTCTCACCTGGGAATATATACTGTACTGTAATTTGCATTTGAATGGCTTTGAAGTTGTGGACCGCTGACCAGTTAGTAGTTTGGAAGTATGCATAATTATCCCATAATGCTCCACATATCTCAAAGAATTACAATTACACTTCAAGGTAAGTACCTCTCGTCTAATTTTAAATTCTCCCTCAATAATCGTTGTCTTTGCCGTTCACTTGTTTCTCGATTTGAGTCTTGAGTCTTTATAAGCTTAATTGTTTCGTCTATCACGTTTTCTCTCCCTTTCAAGCCTGCGTTGTTCTTCACTTAGACTTCTTCGRTGCTCTCTTTTTCTTCTTGTCTGTTCTTCTTCAGATAAAGATCGCTTTCCGTTAGCTACCAGTTGATTTTCCGACATTTGGCGCAGAAGTAAAGTATTTGAAAGGACAAAAATGGAGTCGTTGTGGTGAAAAAGTTGTTTCAACAATTGACGCGAGCGCGCTTCCTTTTCCCGCCTTCTCAAAAGTAGCCAATCAGAATCGACATGTACACGGACGGACGTACGGAAGGACAACTGGGATTCCTGTGTCGGTTGATGAAAACTCAACTCCATGGGTTTACCATTTTTCCTTAGTTATGGTGCTCCGCTGGCGCGGGCCTTTGGCCTTTGGCCCGCGCGGGAACTCTGCTATTATTAACACGTTTTAAAGAAACTGAAGCCAGGACAATGTGCTGTCACGGTTGACTATAAGATAACACTGGAATTAGGAAAAAGAACGAGGGAAATGCAACGAGATTAATATGGTAAAAGTTGGAAATCCAGTTTTGGTTTCTATGTAATTGCAAAGATATCTGATACACAGCGCAAAGCAAAAGTCATTGATCTCTGGAGTGATGACACAAAGCAGGACACATGGTCAGCCAGAGTGCCATGGATGTTGGATTTGCCTGGATGGAGAAATCATTCCATGGATTTCCATGGTTTACCTATCTTCCGTTAGGTACATGTATAGATAAGTGTACATACTTTTGTGAACTTGTTGTAATTGCCTTTGGTGGACCTATGTATTTGCTTTATGGTCTTTTAAACAGTTTCTTCAAATCCTTTGGAAACT